AGAGTCCATGCTCAGCCTCAGCATACTCCAAGATGCTCCAGCGTCAACACGCGATTAATGGGCTTCCCACCCCAGCAGGCATTGCAGATGCAGTTGGAACCGCGGCCGCCCATTGGGACAGGGTACAGAGCCTGATGCGAACCTGTGAGCTCCTGGGTGTAGATGACATCCTTGCCTTGGAGCCTAGCAATGCCACCAGAGGAGCCAGTACCTCGGATGCTGCTGCTGGTGCAGTAGCAGCAGCTGGTGGTGGCCGCTGGATGGACTGCCCTGCTTGCTGGCGGCAGTGTGTTGCTGTGTCAGGCGACGCATGCCTGGGCCTTCGGCACTTTAAGGCTGCGGCCAGTGGCTCCCTCGACCTGCAACCCCTCGCGGCTGGTGATTTGTTTATCTCGGAGAAGTTGGTGATGGAGCGCCTGAAGGAGCGTGGAAAGATGGCGGACCCAGATGCTGTTTCTTGCTCTAAGTTCAAAGCTGCAAAGGTCTTCGGGCGGCGTGCTGCAAACTATGATCGCCTTGGTGTCGCAGCATTTGCTTGTAGGCATGGCTTCGTCCCGGCCATGGTGAGCCTGCATACAGAGGAGGACTTTGTGTACTACGAGGTGCTGCTGGAAGCTCTGAAGCAGAGGATGGATCTGGCATCTGTCAAGGCAGTGTTCCTGGATGTCGCGTGCAAGTTTGAGGGCTACTACAAGAGGTAAGCTTTCTGGGGACACAATGTGCACATGCTCAAGTTAACCTGAGTTGACAGGCTGAGGTCTCCATTTTATATCCATCCCTGGGGTTGGTCAGGGTTTGGGAGTTTAGTCCCTTTCAGATTTTAACTTGAGTTAAGCTTTTCCCCTGCGAAGAAGCTGAATATCTGTTGCCTTGTTTTCCACAGGATCTATGAGGAGCTGGACTTGCCTGCTGGTCTGCCCTTCGCCATCGGACCATGGCACATCCGACCACAGCCTGAGTGCAATGTCCGCTGCAACTCACGCTACATGCCTGGACTGGGGCTCACATTCGGGGACCTAATCGAGCACCTTTGGGCAGACAATCGGAGACACTGGTACATCACGGCGTATATGTCCCCAGCTGCACGCCAGGACTTCATCAACGGGCTGGTGAGTTTAAATCTGGGTGATTACAGCATGAATAGTGTTTTTGCATGGATGGAAAGTAGCGGTGTCCTCTTTATGTAGGTGCGCGATCGCCATCGGAAAAAGGAGGAGGGCCTGGCTCGGCAGCTGCATGCGGGTCTGCAACATGCGCTGAAGTTTGAAGAAGGAGATTGAGGACAGGTATGTTGGTTTACAAGCTTGGGCTTGGTATGGTGGGCCCAACTTGGCTTGGCTTTGAAACGTTGCCTACTTAAAATCATTGATCTTGTATCTTGCAGGCCGGCACTTGAGGGACGCGGTCTTCCCCTGGTTGATAGCACCACCCGAGCAAGAATGAGCGTGGCTTTCTGTTTAAGCGTACTAACTGAGGCCGTGTGTCCAGTGAAGTTAGTACGGCCTGGCCGAGTTCTTTTTGAATAAGGCCCACAGTGTTGTGCGGGAGGCGCTCCTATGGGCGCTGCACTCGACCCGTTCGGGGTCCACTGTAACAATCGCATCTCCCAAAGCCCATGCTGCGAGGCGGACCACCGGAGCTGTAGCGCTTGACATGTTGTTATTACTTATAACGCCTTGAGCACAGCGTTCTATCACCATAATGAGCACCAGAATGCCACTACTTGTTGCTATGTTAATCGGTGCACGCAAGAACGTAAGTACAAAGCCTTCAGTGAAGAAAAGCGTTTGACCGACTCCTCGCTCGGCCGACACCTATTTGAATCTACAGCCAAAAGGAACCTTCGAGAAAGTTCATATCCCTCTCGCACATTATCCAACACAGAAAAAGCAACAGGACGTGATTCTACTCCCACACAGAAGCACGAAAGAAAAAAAAACTACTGAGGACAAAACATAATCCCAAAGTCCAGCGCACACATATACCATCCAAACGCCACCGGCCCCAGCCAGTCACATTATTTCGCAAGGGCGCCAATAAAAATAAAATACACTGCACCCAGGTGCATCCAGGCCCCTCCTTTCTCACAAGCCCGTAGCAGTGGAGAACAGGCGCTGGTTCATCTCCGCCCCAATCCCAACCACGCGGGTGCGACCGTGGCGGCAGCGGCGCCTTGGCCAGTAGTCCGTCCTTGAACACCGCCGCCACCGCACCGCCCCCCGGAGCCGCCAACACCGCCACGTCAGCCAACGGATCCAGGCCGGGCCGCAGCAGCAGAAGGTCGGCTCAGTTTCTGAGGCGTGACACGGCGGCGGCAGGGCACCGCACGCATGAGCATGTGCACATGCGCATATATGCGGATAATATATTACTGTTCCTGAAATCCCTCAAACATTTGGGAGGAAATTTTTATTTATTTTCGGAGCTATTACGGCGATTTGGGTTTCTGGGGGAGGAGAGGCTCGTTCGTTCAGGCTCTAGCGTTTTTGTGGAACTGCGATTTGGGTTATATATATTAATTGCTCCGGACAGCGCGCGCCTCATTTATTGCACGATTGAACAAGTTGCGAAGTCACCCTTTTCTTTTCAGGAATTTAAAGCCAAGATATATATCTTCACAATATTTTTTCACTCATGTCAGTCAGCTTGGCCTTTACGGCAATTTTACTGCAGCCGTTACCCCACCCCGCTCTCTCCCACTATGACGTGCTCACAGCATATGCACATCACTGCGCAATAGTGAACTACTAAATATCCATGTAATGTCGTACGTGTGTCGTACATGTACGAACTGACCTTCATCCCGAACAGTGCCGCGCAATTGACGGTGGCCGAGCGCAAGATGGAGGCGGATGGCAGCACACGTGCTCGTAGCTCGAACTCGCCAGCCTAAGGTAATGCACGCGCGCGCATACATATGTGTTCAATACATGGGTTCGCTTTTACACACACACACATACATACACATATACACATACACACACGCTCACACACATATACACGCATACACACGCATACACACGCACACTCATGCACACAGGACGTCAAGATATGTCAGCCATTTGTTATCCCAACACACCGCACAACATATCTAGCCAAATAGAGCTCGAACAGCTAACCAATAAGCG